CCGGCTGAGGCCTGTCACACCTTCACCCTTGACTCAGGTGCTTCCCGTTGCTTCTTTCGTGACAGTACTGAGCTCACACCGCTTCCTGCACCGGTCCCAGTCTCCTTGGCTGACCCCTCTGGGGGCCCAGTCCTTGCCCAGTCCACCACTGTCCTCCCTTGTCCGGCGGTTCCGTCTGGCTCGTTGTCGGGTTTCCACCTCCCCTCGTTCTCGACGAACCTGGTGAGCAACGCTGTCCTCCAGGATCAGTGGGTTGACACCTTTACCCCTGGCGGACAGCGTGTGGCGATCTGCACGTGCTCCAGGACTGGCCGTCACCTGGCTACGTTCACCCGTCGGCCGGGGTCGAGTCTCTACACACTGACCACTGCGTCTCCCCAGGTAGCTGCTGTCGGTCAGGTGTCTGCGTCAGGTCTGGTGGCCCACGCCTGTGAGTGTCGTTCCCTGTCGCACCAGACTCTTCTCTGGCACCACCGCCTGGGTCACCCCTCCTTGCCACGCCTTCGTGGCATGCACCGTCGCCTCCTTGTGTCCGGTCTTCCCCGGTCCCTCCCTCCCCTACCTGCCTCGCCTGCGCCGCCCTGCCTTCCTTGCGTCGAGGGGCGGCAGCGCGCCGCTCCTCACTCCTCCTCGTTCCCCCCGACAGAGGCTCCTCTGGAGACCCTCCACCTGGACGTGTGGGGCCCAGCCCGCGTTCGTGGTCAGGGCGGTGAGCGGTACTTTTTGCTGGTTGTCGACGACTACTCGCGTTACACCACGGTCTTCCCCTTGCGCACCAAGGGTGAGGTCCCTGCTGTTCTGATCCCTTGGATCCGCACGGTTCGTCTCCAGCTCCGCCGCCGTTTCCGGACGGATCTTCCTGTCCTGCGTCTGCACTCTGACAGAGGTGGTGAGTTTTCCTCCGACCTCTTGAGGACCTTCTGTCAGGCGGAGGGCATCGAGCAGACCTTCACGCTTCCGGACTCCCCACAGCAGAATGGGGTTGCTGAGCGCCGCATTGGCCTGGTCATGGAGGTCGCTCGTACCTCCTTGGTCCACGCGGCGGCTCCCCATTTTCTGTGGCCGTTTGCTGTCCGGTACGCCGCGCATCAGCTCAACCTCTGGCCCCGTGTCTCCTTGCCGGAGACCTCGCCCACACTGCGTTGGACGGGGGAGGTTGGCGATGCGTCGCGCTTCCGGGTGTGGGGTGCTCGTGCCCTTGTCCGCGATACGTCCGCGGACAAGCTCTCCTCCCGCACGCTTCCCTGTGTCTTCCTTGGCTTTGTCCCTGACGCGCCTGGCTGGCAGTTTTACCACCCCACCTCGCGCCGGGTCTTCGCCTCTCAGGATGTCACCTTTGACGAGTCGGTCCCTTTTTACCGTCTCTTCCCCTACCGCACTGCCCCCCTCCCTCCCCCGCCGCTTTTCCTTGCTCCTGGTCCCCCTCCGGTAGACCCCCTTCCCCCTCAGGGTCCTGCTCCTTCAGGTGTCTCTCAGGTAGACCCTCCTCCCGTCGCTGAGCCTGTCGAGGTCACAGGTGACTCAGGTGCTGCTGCGGGTGGTGCTGCTGGGAGTGCTGAGCCTGGGGGTGCTGAGCCTGGGGGTGCTGGGCCTGGGGGTGCTGGGGCTGCAGGTGCTGGGACTGAGGGTGCTGGAGCTGAGGGTACTGTGCCTGAGAGTTTGCCGCCTGGGGGTGCTGAGCCTGGGGGTGCTACGACTGGGGGTGCTGAGCCTGCGGGTACTGAGCCTGCGGGTACTGAGCCTGGGGGTGCTGCTACTGAGCCTACGGAGCCTCGGGTTACTGCGTCTGGGGGTGCTCCGGTTCGGGGTGCTGAGCAGTCTCTCACACCGCAGCAGCTTCGTGACTGGTACGTCCGACGCTTTCGCCGTCCCAGTGGCTCGGCTGGAGTTGGGGGTGCTGGAGCTGCTCGTCCTGGGGGTGCTCGTACTGGGGGTACTGGAGCTGCCGGGACTGGCTGTTCTGGGAGCACTGCGACTGGAGCTGCTGGAGCTGGGGACTCTGGCGCTGGCGGTGCTAGCGGAGTTGGAGCTGCTGACTCTGGGGGTGGCGCTGCTGCTGGTGCTGCGGACCCACCTGGTGGAGCTGCTGCTGGTGCTGAGGAGTCGGACGGTGGAGCTGCTGCTGGAGCTGGGGACCCGGCCGGTGGAGCTGCTGCTGGTGCTGTGGACCCGGACGCTGGAGCTCCTACTGGTGCTGAGGACCCGGCCGCTGGAGTCCCTTCTGCTTCTCGAGACGCTGCGCGGCCGCGACCGTACTTCGTACCGCTCCTTCAGCAGGTTCTTGGGCAGGCTCCTCCTCCTTGTCCTCCTCCCTCCGTAGAGTGTCCTCCGCCTGTCCAGCCGCAGTCACAGTTACCGCCTCCCTCGCCTCTCCCTGCTCCCTCTCCTTATACTGGTCCCACAGGAGGTCTTACAGAGCGTCGTGAGCCTGAGTCTCGTCCTGCGTCGCCTGTTCGTCCTGCTCGCACTGCTAGTCGTGTCCGTCGTGAGCGTCCTCCTCCTGTCCCAGGCACTCACTACATGACTCTGCGTCCCTCTACTGCTCCTCGGCGTGTCCCTCTACCGTCTCCTCCTGCGTCCTCTTTGCCTGCCGTTCCGGACCCTGAGTCTGACCGGTATCGCGCTGAGCACCCTACAGTCACGCGTCTCCTCGCTACTGTTGTCACCGACCCTACCTTTGAGTCCTCGGCTGCGTCTGCTCTGGTCACTGAGTTGGTTGACTTTGCTGCTGCCTGTCGTCTAGACTACGCTGCTAGCCTTGTTGCTGCGTCAGAGTCTGCGTCTGTCTGTCCTCCGTCCGTCGGGGGTGAGTGTGCTCTTGGCACGGACGTCCTTGAGGACAGGCAGGAGGACTTTGACTCTCTTGCGGCTGCTGTACCTCATCTCGTGGCCTGGTTGCTTGCCCCTGAGGGAGACCCGGATGCACTAGACATCCCCACTCCGCGCACTTACGCAGAGGCGATCTCGGGTCCCTACTCCTCTCAGTGGCAGACAGCCATGGACGCAGAGATGGCATCCTGGAAGTCCACAGGCACCTACGTCGACGAGGTTCCCCCTCCTGGGGCGAACATCGTCGATGGCATGTGGATTTTCAGGGTGAAGCGGCCGCCAGGTTCTCCACCTGTCTTCAAGGCTCGTTACGTTGCTAGAGGCTTCAGTCAGCGTCAGGGGGTCGACTTCTTCCAGACCTTCTCCCCCACCCCGAAGATGACCACTCTTCGGGTTCTGCTGCACGTTGCTGCTCAGCGTGACTACGAGCTTCACTCTCTTGACTTCAGCACAGCGTTCCTGCAGGGCAGCCTGCACGAGGAGATCTGGCTGCGCCGCCCACCTGGCTTTACTGGGTCGTTTCCCCCTGGTACCCAGTGGAGTCTCCGTCGGCCAGTCTACGGTCTCCGCCAGGCGCCACGTGAGTGGCACGACACACTGAGGACTACTCTTGCGGCTCTTGGGTTCGCGCCGTCTACTGCTGACCCGTCACTGTTTCTGCGCACAGACACGTCGCTGCCGCCGTTCTACATTCTCGTGTACGTCGACGACTTGGTCTTTGCTACTGCTGACACTGAGGCACTCGCTCGTGTGAAGTCGGAGCTGCAGAAGAGACACACCTGCACTGACCTGGGTGAACTGCGTAGCTACCTTGGCTTGCAGATCACCCGGGACAGAGCTCGCCGCACCATCACCCTGACTCAGTCACACATGGTGCAGCAGGTCCTTCAGCGCTTCGGCTTCCAGTTCTCCTCACCACAGGCCACACCTCTGGCTACCAGCCACTCGCTCTCAGCTCCACCTTCGGACGAGTCCGTAGAGCCGAGTGGCCCGTACCCAGAGCTTGTAGGCTGCCTCATGTACCTGATGACTTGCACGCGACCTGACCTCGCGTACCCTCTTAGCATCCTTGCTCGTTACGTTGCGCCTGGGAGACACAGGCGAGAGCACTGGGAGGCTGCTAAGAGGGTGCTGCGTTACCTGTGCAGTACATCAGGCATGGGGCTGGTGCTTGGAGGACGCGACAGAGTTGTCCTCACTGGTCACTCGGACGCCTCTTGGGTGGACGACCTGGCTACGCAGCGGTCGTCACAGGGTTACACCTTCAGCCTTGGCTCAGGTTCTGTCTCGTGGCGGTCCACCCGCTCTTCCTCTGTTCTCAGCTCTAGTTGTGAGGCTGAGATCTACGCCACAGCCATGGCTGCACAGGAGTTACGCTGGCTCACCTACCTGCTGACTGACTTGGGAGAGCGGCCTAGTTCTCCTCCAGTTCTGTATGGTGACAACAAGGCGGCTCTTGCCTTGTGTCAGGAGCACAGACTGGAGCACAGGACGAAGCACATTGCTCTTCGCTACTTTCTTGCTCGAGAGCTTCAGCAGCGCGGTCAGCTTCGGCTTGTGTACGTGGACTCGAAGGCCAACACTGCTGATATTTTCACCAAGGCGCTCCCGCCTAGTGATCATCAGCGGCACTGTTCTTCTTTAGGCCTTGTGTCCACGTTTCCTCACTTGCTCACTGCTTGACAGTCTTTGTACTGTACTTTATATATATCTTGTTGCTTGCTTGCTAGGTTTTGATCACTGTGTTGCTTGTCTTGTACTATATCTAGCACTGCATGTGAACTGGCCTTGTGGCCTTTACTTGTGCTCGGAGTGTGGTGACGTTGTGATCCACCCTGGGCTTTGCTTTGCTTTGCTGGACTGGTCTTGTGACCCTTTGTTCTCCCCCACTTTGCCTATGGGGGTGTGTTAAACTGTATTATGCTTGTAGGCTGTAGTGGGGTAGCCAATATGGGGTACAACCCCAACTAGGGTTTCATATTTTGTACCCAAACTTCTGTTAGTTCATTCATTCTTGCCTAGTGATCTTGATACCAACCCCCACAACCGTTCCCGCACGCTCAGCATGGCCAACCAGCTCGCTGCCACTGGTGCCCTAACCCAGGCGCGTGTCAATTAGGCTCAAGGGCCTGGTCGCCCTCAACGCCAACTTACGACTTCAGTTCGCCTCAATGGTCACGACACTACTGGTTACAAGCCACCAACGAAGAAATCTGGGGGGTCCAGCACTCGTCAGGGTGCTGGTAACAAAGAAATTCCTCGCGACCCTGAGCTTCAGGAAATGTCCCGTGCAGACCTTGCTGCGTTGAGGGACAAGCTGAACGCGGAGTTGCAGCGACAGGAAGCCAGCACTCAGCACCAGTCACTTCCTGAAACACACATTGCAGAAACAGCCGTCGAGGAGGAGTTGAACAAAACTTCCGCTGCTGCTGAAGTGGCCGCCGATACCTCTCAGCCAGAAACCGATCCGGAGGAAAACACGCTTAACGCTCTAATCGACGAGGGCGAAGGTCCTGGCGAGGATCAGGAGCAAGACGAGGGGGAGGGACATCCCGACGAGTGCGAGTTAGCCGAAACTCCCATTGCACTGCCTCAGGACGATCCGGCCGAGGATGACCGTCCCGAGAGTCGAAGGCGCAGCGCCGATATCGCTGGCCTTATGGGCGGTGACGCAGGAGCTCACGCGTCAGCGCGTGGGAAAAAGCCGAAGCAACCAGGTTAGTGAGATCTGCCCGGTTCTAGTGTTTGTGCAAAGTAACGTTTGAGCCACATGTTTCCGTCCACGCATCATACTAACCTAATCTCATTTTATTTTATTTATTTTTCCCATGCAGCTCGACCGATTCCGGTTAATGAGCAGGTGGCACATAGCCGAGACATGGAGCGTACGATTGCGCAACAGGCCGACACACTCGCGGCCCTCCGTCAGCAGCTGGAAGAGCAGGAGCAGGAGACTGCACGAATGCGAGCTGTCGTTGCTGCTCGCCAGCCGCCTGCCCCAGCAAGGACTAGCCCCGGCCCGTCATCTTCCAACAGCCAGACTACCGGAGCTGGTGTTGGTTTGCTGCACGCAACAGCGCAGCGCAGCAGCCCGTTGGCGACCACCAACGCGCCTGGGCCAGCGACCGCACCAGTCGTGCGGGACGGTGCGGCAATCCCCGCTGTGCTCCTGGACCTATCATTTTTCAAGGTAAGTCTTGGCAGAATATCGATGCTAATTTCTTGGGTCACGTGTTTTTTTTCCGTAGACACATGTTTCGATCAGATTGACATTATATCGTATCCCCCCTCTTCATTTATTTACGCATGTCGTTTGTGCAGCAAAAGTGCAACGACGCAGTGAACTATTTCATTGGGGGTGCTCCAGCGAGTGAGCAGACCTTTTACCCCACCCAGGCACAGATTAGGCGCAAGGTGCAGGAGCTGTACGAAGATGTCGGCGTGCCTGCTGACATGTTCAACCGTGTGATGGCCGACAATCCGGAGCGCGAGAAGATTCCGTTACAGAAAATGTCAGAGCGCCGCTGCAACATCTTCACGGCGACCAAGCCATTCGCCCATGGCCCTGGTGGCTTTGTGAGCGAGAGCAAGGTGGCGCTCCTCGTGGCTGAGAATCTTGCGCCCACGAGACGACGCACTCCTTCGGAGTGGCACGCACACTTTCGTGATGGTGAGTGCCTTATTTAACAATGTAGGTTCAATTTTCTGCAGTGAGGGAAGTCTAACTTCTAACTTCGTGTTATTCCTGTCTACTCCAGAGGTGTATGGTTCGAACTGGCACTGCGATGGATCTGGCCACCCCTTCGCCAACCGCTCGTTTGAGCTTTCCTTGTGCAAGGGACTTGGCGGCAAGCGATGCAACAGGATCAATGTGAAGATCCCTGCTGTTGCCACGATCTGCCACGTGGTATGTGTGAGACGTAGCCTCTGCATTTGTATGACGTGGAAAATATGCTGACATATTTCACATGTTGTGGTTTTGTGCAGGTGGAGTGGCCAATGGCAAACCACAATGGTCGTGCAAACCCGTCCCTGGATGCGTCAGACAAGAACAATAGGGCCGCAGTAGCTGCAAAAATTCTCGTTGTAACTGCATGGATCAAGGCCCTGCTGGAAGCTGGTGAACCCATCTACACCAACGAGGCACCAGCAGGGTTTGTCCTGGGCAGTGGCGCAGTGAAAATCCTCGTCGAAGGATTTGAAGCTGGTATAAATAGTCAAGCTAATTCCTAATTTTATATGGCACGGTGTGAATATGACAGGGAAACACATTAAATGTCACTGCTGTAATGAGCGGACAATGATTATGGCAATCCCAATAATTGTTGAACCCTTTATAGCCATTTAAGACATGCACGAAACATACCTGGACAATAAATACCGATTCCAAGGGTTGCAATGTGTTAACATATATTGGAAGGCCCCTAATACCTATTGATGGGCAACCAATTTTTGGGCATGTTTCCCCCATATACGGCCATGAATGACAATCCCTGTATAGGTGTGTATTGGCGTAAATTGCCATTATGCTCAATTTACAGGCGAGCAATTCACGGTCCCTAAATGCCTACGAAGCAGCCTATTTATAGCCCGCCAATTCCGGGCCATAAACCCGCCATTTGCATGGCGGAAATGGCTGTAAATCGTCATTCTTAAGGGCGACATTTTTGAGATGAACGCTCACTGACGCTCACTGACGCTCACTGGCGCTCACTGACGCTCGCCTTATGAGTTGCATAGCTTCGTCGTTCCTGTGCCTAGTCCTGCCTGACTCGTGCAGCATATGTCCCAAGTCTTTCCGACTCCTTTCCGCCAGTGCCAATCTTTCGGTCTCACCATCACACCTGGCCCGCACGTGATATACTCCCTGGAACCCGCGCTCGCCCCCTCATTCCGTGCAACCGAAATCTCTGACACGATGGAGGCTTCAGGTCCGTGCTTGTTAAACCTCCCTTTTCCGCTATCTTTCGTGTTTATGCTAATGCGAACCCATTTTTGCCAGTCTCGTTAAGTCTCCCTACCCCCCTCCTCCTCCGTTTTGGTTCATGCTGCAGCAAAGACCTCCGCTGATGCAGTCGACATGCTGCCAGCGCCTATCTGGTTTCGAATTTTCCACCTTCTGCATCTGCCGCCCTCCCAACTGGACGACCCTGCTATCCTCGCCAAAAGGAAAGCCCCTGAGGATCCCACTGCGAAGACAGCGCGATTGGCTGCCCGTGAGGCTGGATGGATCCGCTCTCCTGGGTCCACTGCCTGGCAACCGTGGGGCCACCCTGCATGCAGCTCTGGGCTCACTGCCTGGGGCCAGCTAGCCCAGCTGGGCCTCCCTGCAAACAGCAGCACAGGGCTTACTTCCCAGCTGGGCCAGCTGGGCCGCCCTGCAAGCAACACAGGGGCCACTGCCTGGGGCAGGATGGCCCCTCCTGCAAGCAACACAGGGCTTACATCCCACCTGGGCCAGCTGAGCCACCCTGCAAACAACGCTGGGTTTACTTCCCACCTGGGTCATCCTGCAAGCAGCACAGGGCTTCCTTCCCAGCTGGGCCATCCTGCAGGCAGTAAGGGGGTCACTCCCTGGGGCCAGATGGGCCAACCTGCAAACAACACAGGGCTTACTTCCCAGCTAGGTCAGCTGGGCCACCCTGCAAGCACCACAGGGCCCACTGCCCAGCTGGGCCTCCCTGCAAGCAGCGCAAAGGCCACTGCGTGGGGCCAGCAGGGCCACCCTGCAAACAGCGCAGTGCGTGCTTTCCAGATGTTCCACGCCGAATTTGGCCAGCTGGGCCGCCCTGCAAGCAGCGCAGGGCTCACTGACTGGGACCATCTGGGCCATCCTGCAAGCAGCGCAGGGCTTGCTGCCCAGCCGAATCACCCTGCAAACAGTACAGGGCTCACTGCCTGGCAAGCGCAGGGCCTCCCTACAAACAGCAGCACAGAGCTTGCTTCCCAGCTGGGCCAGCTGGGCCACCCTGCAAGCAGCGCAGGGCCGACTGCCCAGCTGGGCCTCCCTGCAAACAGCACAGGGGTCACTGCCTGGGGCCAGATGGGCCACCCTGCAAGCAGCGCAGTGCGCGCTCTCCAGATGTTTTACACCGAATTTGGCCAGCCGGGCCACCCTGGAAGCAGCGCAGGGCTCACTGCGTGGGACTGGCAGGGCCACCACCCTGCAAGCAGCGCGCAGAGGGGGACCGGGACCAACGACCATCTCACCAACACCAGGGTTGATTGCAAGCCACCAGTTGTGTTACGGAAAGAGGGCCTCACTGCCAGTGAGCAGCATGAGAGAAATTCTGACACTTATGGTGCATCATGGGCTCTGCTCTGCTGTGCTCTCGCCAGCAAGAGGCTTCTCAATCTTGTCGTAGCTTTCTCTGTAAGCGCTCTCTACTCGTGTTTCGCCTTCACAAAGTTCCCTCTTTCCGTTTTTGCCTGGTAGATCTTGCACGTTCTCGTCCAGCTTTCATCGACCTTTCAGCTTGACCGCCTATTCAGTGCACCCGCGAATATCTTTCAGCTTTTGTTTCAGATTTCTCATTTGCTTTCAGAATTTCGTCCAGCTTTCAGATTTCATTTGAGCTTTTAGATTCATTTGAGCTTTTAGATTCATTTCGACTTTCAGATTTTATTCCGGCTTTCACATTTCTTTCCGCCTTTCACATTTCATTTTGCTTTCAGATTTCATTCTAGCTTTCAGACTACAATTCAGCTTTCAGTTTTTGTTCCAGCTTTCAGATTTCATTCTTGCGTTCACATTTCATTGTAGCTTTAGGTTTTAAAGTTAGCTTTCAGATTTCATTCAAGCTTTCACATTTCATTTTACCTTTCATATTTCATCCCTGCTTTCAGTTTCCATTTCATCTTTCAGCTTCCTTTTCATCTCTCAGCTTCTGTTTCATCCTTCAGCTTTCATTCTATCTTTCAGCCTTTAGATTTCACTTGTTTTTCAGTCGTGCATGGGGATGGATGACGTTGGCAGCACGGACCTAAAATATATGCACCTGCTGTGTGTGCTTGTGCTGGCGACACTGAGCACCTGGTGTGTCCTGAAGCCAACTTCCACACCTCAGCTGCCTCAAATCTCCCAATCTTCCACGTTCTCTCGCACCCCACCCACTTACAATAGCAGGATAGCCAGCCCATCTCGATTGTCTACAGCGACCAGCACCCGGAGTGGATGCGCGCTGTCCGCTTCTTCCTCACCCGCGGGGGCCTCCACTCCCTTCACCTTCGCTTCTCCATAATCGAGCATGTGCCCTCTCTCGGCGCTTGCATCGCTCGCAGCAGCCCCTCCCTCGCGTCCCTCCGCCTGGATACAAGGCAATGTTGGTTCCTACAAGGGCCACGAGTGCAAGTCCTGGCCAGTGAGTTTCCTCAGTGAATGTGCCCAGCTGCGGGAGCTGCACTTGGGGCGGGGTATGTGGAGTCTCAACAAGCAGTGTGTGAACGCGGCATGGCTCAAGTCGATCCGCAAGCTGACTTTAGAGCATGCGGATTTTGAGAGCTTGAGCTTCCAGTTTCTCGGGACCATCACGCCGCAGCTGCACGAGTTTACGCTCTATGAGGACGGCAACATTTTTCGCCTCCGTGATGCCATAGGAGGTTCCAGCTTGCCCCCCATCAGCCTCGCCTTCTCCTTCTCCAACGCCCGCCTCCTCCGCTTCCACTTTGCCAAGACTGAGCTACAGCTCACCCTCACCGTGTCGGCCTCTCAATCATGGCCAAAAAGCTCGTGATCTCCTGCAAGAGCACCGCCCCTCTTGCTCTCCACCACCTCTCGCTGCACGGCCAGGAGCGCCTCGTCGTCTCCTCCCTTCCCCTCGCGTACGCCAGGGTTGCCTACTTGGACGGCCCTGGAAAGGATGAAGATGGTTCTTCCTGGACTGAATTGCTTGGCACTATAGCGCCAACAGTGGAGGTGCTTATAGTGAGGCATGGGATGTCCTTAAAGAGGGTGGATGCAGAGTGGGGAAGGCTGCGGAGCCTTGGGATTGTCCTGCCACCTTGGGACAAAGATGCTCGTGCGAACAACTGGGAAATGGGAATGGGCACAGATGGTGGTGAGTGTGAGGAGCATTTAGACGATGGCAGGTTGCGGTTTTCTTGGGAAGATGACCCGGGTTATTTGAGCGAAGAGCCGGATGAGGAATTGGATGAGGATGAGTGGATGTTTGATGATGCTGCTGATGATGATGAGGATGATAAAGATGATGATGATGGTGTTGGTGGGGATGAGTATTACCGCCTGGCATGGGCAATGTATGGTCCAGCCATAAAAGCCAGGATGAGGGCTCGGCGGCGGATGAAGAAGGCCTTCCCCAAGCCGCCGCCCATCTGCGCTCCGAATCTGCGGTTTCTCTTCTTCCCCACCCGCAAGGCGTGCAATGCGCCCACACTGGCTGCACTGCGGCAGGACTACCCCGCCCTGGCGCTCTACTGTGTGGTGGACCGCTCCTTCTACTGGGAGAGGAAAGGCAAGACGGTGAGCAATGCGCCGCTGGAGCATGTGAGGAGCGAGAAGAGTGGGGTGTGGGATGAAGAAGAGGGGATGCAGCGGGCCAAGAATGTGAGGGAGAAGATGCACAATGTGAACAGGAAGCTGGTGGAGGGGTACTGTGCTGGGGAGGACCAGATGTACGTGCTGCAGTACCAGTAGAATGGATGCTTCCAATATTTGCTGCATGCCAGGTATGGGTAACTTGCACTTTTGTTTGGTTTAACCAGGAAATATATTGTTACTGGGTGAGGTTTTGGACGTGGCAGCATACGCATACGGTATAACCGCATGATTTGTAATATAATATTTTACTTGTGTTAAGCTACATAATTTCATTAGGATACTGTTTCATGAATCAGTCTGACTTTGAGGTTAACAATCTGGATACCTACTACAAATTATTACGTACGAACAAAACAATCAATGAGTACCCTTTCTGAGAACAAGTTCTCAACTTTCTATCGCGTACGGGGACACATTCTGGCTCCTGAGCTGACCTTTTCGCGCTTTGGGATCTCCAGCTCCAGCATGGCTCTCACGAGATTTACGCAGGCCATATTATCCTAGTCCGTAGCTAGCGCTCTCGCACAACCCAATTTGAGCAGAAGCGAGGGTTTCCAGGCAGCCCTGTCGGGGAGAAGCAGGGCAGGGGGGGAAATTCGTTGGGATGAGCATTTCGTACCTTGTGGCTCCTCGGGAACTCCACTGTGCTTGAGTGTCTTACGGATAGCTGGTTTCTCCAGCGTCAATTGGGGCGTCCCTGTTTCTCATCCCGTTGCTAGAGCCTTCTCGCTCCCCTCCCGATTCCAGCGTTCACGAACGGGGTTCGCGGAAACAAGGATCCTAGTAACAAGGAAAATTATTCAAAATTTATTGCCCGCGGACGACAGATTAGGGCTACTGTAGCCGTATGAACCTTCCAGCGTCGAATGAACCTTTCAAAACCAACGAGCAGCAATTGTCGACGTGAAATGTGACCTGAACCAGCGTGGCAGAGCGTGACGCAACAGAGGAACCTAGGGTATCGATCGACAGCCCCGTTTCGGCATACGTGGTCCCGGCTGCGTGCAGGTCGTGCTGGTGGTGGTCCCGGCCACGTACGAGAGGGCTTACCAGAGAGTCTCCAGGATTCGTTCCCTTCCAATGATCAGCGTCTGACGCTGTTGCGGGCTTCGAGTGCTGCCTGGGTGTGGAACTCCAGGATTGCTGTGAAACCAAATTGCTTCTGGAATTTCCTGGGATTTTGCACCAGGGAGTTTCACTGATTGAGCAAGGTAGCACTGTATCTTGGTATTCTGCAGAGGCTGAGCAGGGCTGTCTTGAGTGGACTGTTTGGTTCTGATTATACTGTGAAAGGAGCAAGGGAAGGCTTATCACTGGTACCGAGCGGGACATGGGAAAACGCCATCATGCCGACGCTCACTGACGCTCACTGACATTCACTGACACTCACTGACATTCACTGACGCTCACTGACATTCACTGACGTTCACTGACGCTCACTGACACTCACTGACGTTCACTGACGTTCATTGACGCTCACTGACGCTCACTGACTTTCGCTGAGGATTTTGCAGCTTTCGCCTTCTAACGTCTTCCTGAGCCTAGTCCTGTCTGATACGTGCAGCAACTATCCCTAGTCCTCCCGAGTCCTTTCCGCCAGTGCCAGTCTCTCCATCAAGCCTAAGGCCAGCACGAAATGTCCACCCTCGCTGCTCTCATCAATCAATTTCTCCAACCGATTCGCTGAGACGATGGAGGCTTCAGGTCCGTGCATGTTGGAGCTCCCTTTTCCGCCATTTTTCTTTTTTAGGCTTAAGTGAACCCATTCTTGCCAGTCTCGTTAAGTCTCCCTAAAGCCGCTTTTCCTCCCTTTTGGTTCATGCTGCAGTCAACAACTCCCCTGATGCAGTCGAGATGCTGCCAGCGCCTATCTGGTTTCGAATCTTCCACCTTCTGCATCAACCGCCCTCCCAACTGGACGACGCTGCTATTTTCCCCCAAAGGGAGGAGAAGAATACAGAAACTGGCTCTGATGATTCCGAGACAGAAGAAGAGTCAGATTCCGAGACAGAAGAAGAATCAGAGGAAGAATCAGATGAAGAATCAGAGGAAGAGACAGAGGATGAGGTAGAAAAGGAGGCAGAGCGGCTGGATGCCCGTGAGGTTGAATGGTTCCACACCCCTGGGTTGTCTAATACCAAAAGTAGCGACCATCTCACCAACACCAGGGTTGATCGCGATCGTCCGCCAGTTGTGTTCCAGGAAGAGGGCCTCACTGCCAGAGAGCAGCACGAGGATAACACTGACACTTATGGCGCTTCATGTGCTCTGCTCTGCTGTGCTCTCGCCAGCAAGAGGCTTCTCAATCTGATCGTAGCTTATTCTGTAAGCTCTCTCTATTCGTGTTTCACTTTCCGTGTCCACTTTCGCCATGAAGATCTTGCACTTTCTCAGTGCACCTGTAAATATGAGCCTCCATCGTTCATTTCAGCTTTCAGCTTCCATTTCATTTTTCAGATTTCATTGCAGCTCTTATTCAGCTTTCAGCTTTCAGATCTCATTGCTGCTCTCATTTCAGCTTTCAGCTTTCATTTCAGTCTCACCTTTCAGTTTCGGATTTGGTTCGATTCCGCTTTCCGCTTTCAAATTTCAGTCCAGCTTTGAGATTTAATTTCTTCTTCCATATTTCATTTATGCTTTAGATTTCATTTCAGCTTTCAGCTTTTGTTGCAGCTTCCAGATTTCATTCCAGCTTTTAAAATTCAATTCAGCTTTCATATTCTAGCTGTCATATTCCATTTTTGCTCTTCTTTCAGCTTCCAGCTTAGAATTCAGACTTTGGTCTCTTTGTATTTTTTTTTTTTTTTTCAGCTTTCAGCTTTGATTTCAGAGTTCAGATTTCGTTTTCAGCGTTCAGATATCATTTCAGCTCTTCAGATTCCATTTAAACTTTCAGATTTCGTTCCAGCTTTAAGCTGTGGGGTCCCAAATCAGCTTTCAGTTTAGCTTTCAGCTTTCCTTTCCGACTTCCAACCTTCAGTTCATCTTTCAACGTTGATTCCACCTTCAAATTTTAGCCCTCAGCTTTCACTTGGCTCTCACCTTTCCATGCTATGGATGACGTTTCCCACAGTCGTTAGCAGCAAGAACAAAAATCTTGCAGTTGCTGCTTGTGCTGCCGACGCTGAGCACCTGGTGTGTCCCGAAGCCAACTTTCACACCTCATTTGTCTCAAATCTTCCACTCTTCCACGTTCTCCCACCCCACCCACTTACAATCGCAGGAGATCCAGCCCATCTCGCTTGTTTACAACGATTGGAACCCCCACTGGTCGCGGACCGTCCGCTTCTTTCTCACCCGCCCGGATCTTCACTCCCTTCACCTTCGCTTTTCTCGCCTCGAGCATCTCCCCACTCTCGGCACCTGCATCGCTCTCAGCAGCCCCTCCCTCTCGTCCCTCCACTTGGAGATGCAAGGCACTGTTGGTTCCTCCAAGGGCCAGGAGAGCGAGTCCTGGCTGCTTGGTTTTCTCAAGGACTGCGCCCAGCTGCAGGAGCTGAATTTGGGGCGAGGCATGTGGAAACTCAACTGGCAATGTGTGAACACGGCGTGGTTCAAGACGATCCGCAAGCTGACCCTAGAGCAGGTTCATTACGGGAGCATGAGCTTCCAGTTTCTCGAGATTATCACACGGCAGCTGCACGAGTTCACTCTCTACGAGGATGGCAACGTGCATCGCGAATATTCCCACGAGGCCTCCACCAGCCACCTCGCCTTCTCCTTCCCCAGCGCCCGCCTCCTCCGCTTCCGCTTCGCCAGCACTGAGCTTCACCTCACCCTCACCGTTCCGCCCTCCCTCGAGACTCTCTCAGTCGTGGCCAAAAGGCTGGTCCTCTCCTGCGAGAGCACCGCCCCTCTCGCTCTCCACCACCTCTCGCTGTACGGCCAGGAGCAGCTTGTTATCTCCTCCCTCCGCCTCGCATCCGCCCGGGTTGTCTACTTGGATGGACCGGCCAATGACCAGGAGGGTTTTTCCTGGACAGAATGGCTTGACATTATAGCACCAACAGTGGAGGTGCTTATAGTGAGGCACGGGGTGCCTATAAAGAAGGTGGAGGCGGAGTGGGGGAGGTTGCTGAGACTTGGGATTGTCGTGCCTCCGTGGGACAAGGATACTCGTGCAAACAGCTGGAGTACGGGATACGGCACCGATGATGAGAGTGAGTGTGAGGAGCATTTGGACGATGGCAGGTTGCGCTTTTCTTGGGCGGATGAACCCGGTTATTTCGGCTCGGAGCCGGATGAGGAAGTGGATGAGGATGACTATATGTTTGATGATGCTGATGAGGATGAGGATGAGTATGGTGATGCTTATGATGGTTTCAGTGATTATGGTTGTGGTAAGTATAACCGGCAGTTTTGGGAAATGTATGGTCCAGCCATAAACGCCAAGATAAGGGATCGGGAGCGGTTGCTGAAGGCCTTCTTCAAGCCGCCGTCCATCCGCGCTCCGAATCTGCGGTTTCTCTTCTTCCCCACCCGCAAGGCGTGTAATGCGCCCGCCACTGGCTGCACTGCGGCAGGACTACCCCGCCCTGGCGCTCTACTGTGTGGTGGACCGCTCCTTCTACTGGGAGAGGAAGGGGGTGCCTGTGAGCAATGCGCCGCTCGAGCATGTGAGGACGGCCAAGAGTGGGGTTTGGGATGAAGAAGAGGAGGAGAAGCGGCCCAAGAAAGTGAGGGAGAAGATGCACAGTGTGAACAGGAAGCTGGTGGAGAGGTACAGTGCTGGGGAGGACCAGATGTACATGCTGCAGTACCAGTAGATGGGGTTCTCTAGTGTTTGCCTCCAGACCTGAATAATCTGCTCTCTTGACGGGTTCACCAGCCAGTAGCACATGGACGACGGCATGAATTGGACGAGGTAGCGTAAGCATACAATCGCACAAGTCATTTGTCTCAATCATTTTTGTTTCATATACCGTATCGCCCCGGATATAACCGCAGGCCTATGTTAAGCGCATGCGCTTTTATCTGGAGCAATGCGCTTATGGCCGATCCTCAATTATAAGCGCACCCTCTGAAAATTCGTTACTTATTATAAGCGCACCCCTGTTATATAACAAGCTTTTTCCCGTTGGATTTTCCCACTAAATACAAACTAGCTAACAGTTTCAACTAAAACTACCAATACATTGGACTTCATTTCTAGCCTACACACCATTTTCATGATCACTCAAGCCTAAGGCCTACTCCTCGTCCGATTCAGGCTCCGTGGAGTTGTTGCCAAAGAAGCCGTCTGCTTGGACGTCGTCATCTACCTCTACCTCGTGGGACAGCTGAGCTCTCCGGTGCGCCAGCACCAGTCCGTCTTCACTTCCGTCAAGGGCATTGCTGATGCCGCAGGTGAGGAACGCCTTCTTAATCAGTTCGGCGGGCACGGCTTTCCACGCCCGTGAAATCCACTTGAGCACCACCTCCGGAGGTGGTTTCTTGATGTTCCCTGCACCACAAACACGGGGGTGGGAAACGTGAGACCACACGCAGGCAGACAAGCTCATAAAAAGGCCACGGGAGAACACTTTGCGTACATGCAGGGGTCAGGATGTTCATGCCGTCCTGCTCGAACCAGGTCTGGTACTGCTGCCGAACACTCGCCTTGAAGCTTTTGTTGACCGACACATCGAGCGGCTGCAGGTCTGCCGTGCATCCCGCCGGGGTGACCACCGGTACGATGTTGAGCTCCGCGAATTTCGCCTTGACTTCGGGAGTCAGGTGACCACGGTAGGAGTCGAGCACCAGCTGTCAGAGGTCCACTGGAGATCCCCGATGATCCTAGGGAAGGGTTACAGGCACGTCGGCCTGGGGGGTTATGGGCGCACTCACCCGCTACTTAAACAAGCCCTTTTATCCCAGTGGTTAGTGACTGGGATTCTGACATGGTATCAGAGCGAAGGTCTCGGGTTCGATTCCCGGTGTGTGCACTTCGGGCATCCCAGTGCGGGGGGGTGTCAGAGGTCCACTGGAGATCCCCGATGATCCTAGGGAAGGGTTACAGGCACGTCGGCCTGGGGGGTTATGGGCGCACTCACCCGCTACTTAAACAAGCCCTTTTATCCCAGTGGTTAGTGACTGGGATTCTGACACCAGCATGGCGCTACGGCTCTGAACTCCGAACTTCGGTTTCAGGAACGGCACCACGCCTTTCGCGAGCCACTCGATGACGCCCGAGGCCTCCATCCACCCGTTAGCTTGGCAGCCGACCACGACATCTGCATACAAGCAAGCGGTGGTTAGAATGTAATATAGATTTACCCCTCGGGAACACGCGCATCGACTTCAGCTTCTTACCAGGCGGGAAGTCTCCCTTTGGGAGGGTCTTGCGCTTGAAAAACACCCACGGCTTCAACTTCTCGCCCGTCGCTGTGCACGCCAGCATCACAGTGACTCGCTCCTTCTGGTATCCACCACTGCGGATAGGCACCGACTTCACGCCCGTCTGCTCCACCGTGGTAGTCGCCGGCATCTCCAGCCACAAAGGCGTCTGGTCGGCATTGATAATGTAACGGTTGTCGATGTCGTACTCGTGGCGTGCGTCGCGGACATACTGCCAGAACTCCTTGCACTGCTCTGCCACGTCTGCGTAAGGGGAGGGAGGGACGGGTAAAAAGGCGGATGAGCACCGCGGCAAATAAACATGCATGGGCAAGAAAGTACAAAGATTCAAGCAAGATAATCAAGATAGGATGACAGGAGCACGGACGGGCACTTACGCTGCAGTGTCTTTTGTGCCACCTTTGTTTTCATGCGCACGGTGAGATTCCACCGCTTGCGGAACCGCTCCGTCCAGCGCTGACTCGCCTTCCACTTGACGTCCGGGAACAGGACCTTCATCACCTCTTTAGACCACTCTTGCAGCCGGCCGACAGATACTGCCACACCGCGGCGTCGCCAGTCCAGGAGTTGGGCGTACACCTTCATCTCCATGGGTCTGTACCAGGACGACCTTCCGCGCCCGTGAAGTCGACACCGAGCGCCGTGTGCAGCCTTGAGCTCCTCCGCTTGGGCTTTCCACTCCGTGAGGCACTTGCGGTGTATGCCGGACTCCCTCGCAACCTCGCTTATCGATGCCGCAAGCTCCAGCCGTACGAGCCACTTCAGTTTCTCCTGGGCGGTGTAGCGCTGCCGTTTGCGTTGAGTCATCTTGTGCCTGGGAGAGGGGGGGCGGGCATCTCGGTTCTCAGAGGAGGGGTGGGGTCGTTTCTTGTTAACAGGCGGATACGTTGGTATTGGCATCTTCGCGCGTGGTGCGTCGCGCCACCAAGATTCGACGCCGTCGTCGTCGGCGGCCTCACGATCGGGGAAGACGTCCTCCTCGGCGCCCTCTTCAAGATCGATTCCACCGTCGCCTCCACAGCCGCCTTCCGCGTTGCCGTCGCCGGTAGGTTGTTTATCGGCGGCCACGTCATCGTCGGCGCCCACGGCCGACTCGTCCCACGTGCAATCCTCAGGATTTCCCCACCGCGGGGCAGTCGGCGGAGCAGCGACAACCACATCGGGAGCCTTGGGTGTGTCCGGTTCAGACAGCCACTCGTCGAAGGTGGCTGGCAAGTAAAGCTGGAGCACGGGCCGCTGGTGGAAATTCGGGTCAGGAACAGGAGGGCTCGGAGGATTCGGAGGAGCGGGGGGAGTAGGAGGAGCAGGAGGTACAGGAGGAGCAGGCGGAGCAGGCGGTGCAGGTGGTGCAGGTGGCACAGGAGGCTCACGGGTAAACCACCCGTCCGCGGTAAGTCGCCATGGCCGCGGTGGTTTCTTTTTGTAAAGAAAGTGCATCCCACTGAATTCCGCCATGGCTTCGCCAGCCAGGCGGGCTAGAGTAGAAACTGAATGAAAAAAATGAAGACGAGGGTGCACAAATGGGCAACGACGGGGACCCCTGCAACCTAGCGGCGCGGGGTCATCGTCAATGACAGGCAGGGTTCCCCCGTCTACCCCCGTAGAGGAACCTGCGTGGCAGCATATCCGCTGCGCTGGCAGGGAAACTTCCCCAACCTTCGAGAGGGTTCGAAAGAAATGCACTTGCGTGGCAGCGCATGCGGCTGTGATTGGGCCGCACAGCAACATCCCCGTCAGTGCTGTCACGTTCGATGCTTCTAGACAGCATTGTGCGGTGGGAAACCGCACCGCGGCTGTTTTTGCCTGAAAACCATGCACGTTCCCACGTGCTGCATGGTCCGGTGGATTCGCCTTATTGCGGGCTTCAGTTTAGTATGTTTAAAAGTGAATTTCATTTTTTTTTTCCGTATTATACGCGCATGCGCTTATACAGACACCTCAATTAGAAGCGCACCCCCCCAAAAAACACCGTTTTATTATAAGCGCACCTGCACTTCCATCCGGGGTAATACGGTACCGTATGTCTATGTTGTAGGCAAATGTACAGTATGTTTCATTTGTGTTTCATACATGTCTCATTCATTTGTGTTTCATACTTGCATTATTATCCATTGTTGTACAATGGTGTTACTGTAGAGAATGTGGCGCATCCAGCTCTGCATACAGCTTACCACTTTAAACTAACATGTCAACAGCTCAAACACGAAAAGTCGAGACACGCTTCACATGCATGCACATCATGATTGAAATGCGGGCAGGGCAGCAAGCATTATGCGAGCACACATCATAACAGTGTGCGGGTGTGGGTGCTGAGGGTATGGAGGCAGTGAGGGTGGGTGAAGAGGCGTCAGGTCAGGCAGAGGGCAGCAGCAGTGCGGCAGCAACGGATCTGCCCTCCTCGTTGAGCACATTGAGCGTCGCTATGGCATGGCGCTGGTGGAACAAGGGAGAGGGAGGACAGGGGTAGAGGCGTGTAGGTAAGGCGTGGCCCTCCTCATTGAGCGTTGCTATGGCGTGGCGCTGGTGGGGAGAGAGGGGGGGGAGGGGAAGAAGGGGAATGACGGTGTTTGTGGCTATGCCATGACCCTCCTCGTTCAGCACGTTGAGCGTCGCTATGGCGTGGCACTGGTGGGAGGGGAGTGGGGGAAAGGAAGGGGGGATAGGAGGAAGGAAAAGGGAAGGGTAGGGGCGTGTGTGTTGCTATGGCATGGACCTTGTCATTGACCACAGCATGGCTACGGCATGGCTACGAAGTGGCGCTGGTGGAGGGCACATGGGAGGAAGTGAGTCGATATATCTAGCAGGTTTGGGAGGCTCAAACAGGATCACCAGCAGATTAGCAGCACTTTCAGCACCAGCAGCACTTTAGGAGCACCAGCAGCAACGGCAGTAGCAGATGCACTCACAGTGGAGAGCACTTCGAGCTTCATGCCACACGCCCTCACAAACTTCCTCAACTCCCCCGGCACTGCCTGCATGCGCTGCCCCGTGCCCAGTAGCAACAGCTCTGCACAGCGAGAGGGGTGGATGGGGGGACCGGGGGAATGGGGAGAAAAAGAGGGGAGGAGGGGATAGGAGTGGAGGTGGGTGGAGAGACGTGGACAAGAGACGGAAAGGGGAAAGTACAGGGGAAATTGAAGAAGGAGAAAAGAAGAGAGGCGGTGAGAAGAGGAGAGGAGAGGAGAGGGGAGGAGAGGAAGGAGAGGAGAGGAGAGGAAAGGAGAGGAGAGGAGAGGAGAGGAGAGGAGAGGAGAGGAGAGGAGAGGAGAGGAGAGGAGAGGAGAGGAGGGAGAGGAGAGGAGAGGAGGGGACAGGAGAGGAGAAGGGAGAAAATGGTTGCTTTCTATGCATTGCCCATTCCATGCCATGCCATGCCCTGCCTTGCTCATGCCATGCCTCCCATAACTCATATTTTGAAGTTCAGACATGCATGCCTACAAAGCAGCAGCACACCATTTACAGCACACCACTCAGCATGCAGAGCAAGCACAACGAGCAACACAGCAAGTAGCACTGCATTCACAGGAGAATAGCATTCACAACAGCACAGCATTCACAGCATTCTCAGCATTCACAACAGCACAGCATTCACAGCATTCTCAGCATTCACAGCATTCTCAGCATTCACAACAGCAGAGCATTCACAGCATTCTCAGCAACACAGCGTTCCCAGCAGCACACCTGGTTGCGGGCGAATGAGCTGAAATAGAGCCAGGCTGCGTGGAGGGCAGGCAGGGACGGCAAGGGGGGGGGGGGAAGGGGGGAGGAAAATGGGGGGGGTTGAGACAGGGGCAGGGAATGAGGTGGAAAATAAGGAGAGGTATGGGAGGGAGGGAGGTAGGTAAGGGCTAGAGTGAAAGCTAGTGTGACAAAAAGGAAGGGGGCACAAAGGAAGAGGGAAGATAGAGGGGCAGGAGGGGCAGAGAGGCCGCAGCTTTTTATGAGGCGGCTCAACAACAGGCGTGGGCAGAGAGGACGCGGACGCGCAGCTGGTTTGGCGAATGCATGAGAAAGAGGTGGCGGCGGGAAGGGATGGATGGAGCTGACGGTGACGCGAGAGGGTGAGGGGAGGAAGAAGCACGTAGTGGCGGGCTGGGAGGAAGGATGTGGTACGGGCATGCGAGGAGGGGAGAGACGAGTGGGGATAAGAGGGAGAAATCGGAAAGGAAGGCAGATATGTCATGCGACTTTTGGCTGCATGCAGCAAACGCATGAAGTGAAGGGAAGAAGGAGGAATCGAGTGACCATGACATGCCAACATCAGCAACAGTGAGGTTACGACCGCTGCCACATCCCTCCCATCCCCCTCACACCCCTCACCCATATAACCCCTCCCCTCTCTTCGCACTCGCCCCAATTCCCTCACCTGTCTGATGTGACGTCAGCGAGGCAGGAGGGCGACCAGCAGAGTGCCACGTCACCCACACAGAGAATGGACGAATCCAGGTCCCTGCCGCCCACCGTGAAGCCCTTATCGTCGTACCTGCAACAAGCGTGAGCAATGGTTACAGACAGTGAGTGCAGTGAGTGCAGTGAGTGCAGTGAGTGCAATGGGAACAGGGGGAAGGAAAAGGGAACGTGGGAGGGAAGGGGGGAAAGGAGGAAAAGGGAGGAAGGGAGGGAAAGACCGAGGGGAGAGGAAAGGGCGCGGTTGACTGACTCACGCGGTGATGAACTCTCAGGAACGAGCGAGATTGAGGAGAGAGCCGGGAAGAGGAGCGGGAGAAGCGGCACTCACGCGGTGATGAACACGCGTCCGCTGCTCTCCGCTGCGCCTTCCAGCACGTTGAAGTTAGACGGCTCCGCTGCCGCTGCCCGCGCAATGCCCGACGGCGTGCTCGCAAAACCCCTTCGCCACCCGATGCTCTCCGCCGCGCCTTCCAGCATGTTGAAATTCGACGGCTCCGCTGCCCGCGCAACGGCGGAAGGCGCGGCTACCCCCGCAACCGCGGACGGCGCTGCTGCTAGATTGATTCTTGATGGCACGGCCGCCAGACCCCTTCGCTGTTGCTGCTGCTGGTAGTGCTGCTGCTGCTGCTGGTGGGAGTGCTGGGGATGGTGGTGACGGTGGTGGTGGGACTCATAGGATTGGTGCGGGCGCGCCGCCGCAGGTTGGAAAGAGATTGCGCCGCCATCCCCGCTATGAGCTCGCCCGTTACACGTAGATTCGGTAACTGTTCCTACCACAGCACCGCTTAAAGCGGGTGGGGCGGTGGCACTCGTGGGCAGCAGACGAGGCGTCGCGCTAGCTAGTAGCGGGCGGTACAGCGCGCCGAGCCTTGATCGCGCAGTCATGGCGGCGTACGCGATATAAGGCGCGGGAGAAGACAGGTGCGAGTAACAGCCGCGCGGTCGCGGAATCGAGGAAAGGCTGTGGGAGGGGTGGGGAGGAATGGAGCGCAGCGCGGAGAGATGTGACACGGCGGCGAAAGGAAGCAGCAGCAGCGCGCGCGAGAGGAACTGGATGTGCGCGTGCGGGCGCGAAGAGCGGGGCGGGATTGACATTAGTGAGAAATGAACTAAGGGACAGACAGACAGACTCGGTGCAAACTTTGTCAGGCTGATTGTTCTGAATGCGCGGATTTCACAACTGAACTGATTTGCACTCCAAGTAGGAACTACAGAATACAATTGAAGACTACTGAATGGGAGACCTACGATGCTTCATATATAGGCAGGTTCGAGCTAGGCGTGAACCTCGGGTTCAACGAGGCTCGGATGTTTGGCGACAGGTGCGGAGGGCGATTCGGAAGTGGTTGGGGCCGAATTTGTAGGCCGAACCAGCTGACGGAGTCGCTCTGAACATAACCGCTAAAGTTTGACTACAGAAATGAATTCTTATTCCTTACACTGATAATCCGTTCGTAACAGCTCAATAAAAATTTACAGATCTCATGAAAATTGAAGGATGGTTGGTTAGTTGTAGAGTCATGGAGGACGCCTCAGGAACCTTTTCTGACAAACAAAATAATTGAATAGCTGAGTAGAAAAATAACGAAAATACCGTAACAAAAACAAGACAAGACAAAACACAACACAGTCGCTCTCAATTTCCTTCAAGCATTTTGGTATGCATCGATCCTCTCCGAGCATCGCCCGTTGGCTTCCACCACCTTATGCCCACACAATGTTTACAAATCACATGCATCTCTAAGCGTCACTACCAATAAGCTCCCTCTCAATCTCCTCCAAGCTCCGCCCCTTGGTCTCCACCACGCACGCACGCACAAACACCACCCCCACAAAGCACACCGCCGCAAACCCCACGTACGCCGCTGCCACACCCACCACCTTCACAAAACCTAAGAAGGAGAGGCCTATAACGAAGTTGCAAATCCAGTGCGTGGTGAGCGCTGCTGCGACGGCCGAGGCGCGAATGTTGGAGGGGAAGATCTCGGGGAGGAGTAGGGCGGGCACGGGTCCAGCTCCCATGGCGAAGGCGAGCACGTAGGCCACTGTTCCCAGCACAGAGAGTGGCGCTGCAATTGGCTGGAGCGGCGGGAAGGAGAGGGTGAGGGCGAGGAGGAGCATGGAGCAGCCCTGGCGGAATTGGGGGGGAGGAATGGGAGGGGGAAGGGGAGAAACAGGATGAGATTTGGAGCAATGGTGTGGAAAGGGGGTTGCAGAGGCCATTTGTTGGAGGGGGAGATCTCGGGGAGAAGGGTGGGCACGGGGCCGCCCCCCATGGCGAAGGAGAGGACGTAGGCGCTGGTGCCGAGGAGGGAGAGCGGTGCTGCGATTGGCTGGAGCGGTGGGAAGGAGAGGGTGAGGGCTAGAAGCAGCATGAAGCAACCCTGGAGGGATAAAGGGGTAGGGGGATGGGTGGGGGGAAGAGGGGGGAAGAGGGGGGAAGAGGGGGGAAGAGGGGGGAAGAGGGGGGAAGAGGGGGGAAGAGGAGCGGGAGCAGGAGGGGGGTTAGGGATTAGTGGTTCTTGAACAACAGGAGCAGCAGTGCGGGCACGGCGCCGGCTCCCATGGCGAAGGAGAGGACGTAGGCAATGGCGCTGAGGAAGGAGAGCGGTGCTGCTATGGGCTGCAGCCGTGGGAAGGAGAGGGTGAGAGCTAGCATGAGGGGAGGTCGGGAGGAGTGCGAGACGAGAAGGAATCAGCAATGTCAGTACAGGAAAGATGTTGATAATTTCAGTGCCACAGTGGTGTAGGTAGTGGGTAGAAATTGGTGTCAGACGGAGAGGAAAAGGTTGCAGCATTTGGGGGCAAGTGAGCACTAAGCATTATAATGCTACACAACGTCTGGCAGAGTTGCAGCGACATCATGACATGGCAAAACGAGCCATGCCACTCTGCATGCCATTGTGCATGCATGTCACCATGCCATACCATCATAGCATACTGTCTGCCACCTCACATGCCCCACCACCACCCATCACCGCACTGTACCTTACCACCCACCACAGCGCCCTACCATGCCGGTAAAGGACCCCATGAGCAGGCTCTTGCGGCCCTGCTGGTCCACCAGGTTGAGCGAGACAGCTGTGCCTGCTTGGTGGCATGGTGGCATGGATGGGTAGTGGGGGAGACGGGTGGGGCACAGAGGAAGAGGGAAAGGATTCCATGAGGAGGCTCTTGCGGCCCTGCTGGCCCACCAGGTTGAGAGACACTGCCGTGCCTGCATGGTGGATGGGGAGGGAGAGGGATGGTGCAGAGGAGTAAGAGTGGGGTGGTGCAGGGGAGCAGAGAGGGTGTGAGTGTACGGTAGAGAGGAAAACGGGGATGGGTCGATAGGAGAAAGAGGGGGAAGAGGGCAGTGAGTCAATCATTCACAAGATGGTATCAACTCACGCCTGGTGCTGCAACAGTGGCGCTAGGGAGTGTGGCTAATGCACATGGTGCCCATGGTGCACATGGTGCACATGGTGCCAATGGTCAGGTAACACGCCCTAGGGCCTGTCTGTGACAGTGAATGGACGGCACGAGGACGAGAGGGGAGGGAGGCAATCACGTGGGTGCACAAGACAGCACGGTGAGAATATGTCAGAAGACAGAGATGGGAGGGAGACGATCACATGGTGCACAAGTAGGAGGACAGCACTACCATGTGCAGCAGCGAGCGCATGTCCAGGGTAAGAGCGAGACAAGCACAGGTAGTGGCATGGCATGTGCAGTGAAGTCCATATCAAGCAGTATACCTGAAACATTAGCGCCACACTTTGCATACTTCGCAGTGTTGTTTGGCCCCATACTTAACACGCCATGTCAGCACATTTAGCACCTTCGCGAGGCCCACAAGGGCGCTGGCATCTCCCTAAAACGTCATCTCTGCATACCTTACCCGGTACCCGGATGGGTAGCTGGCGCCATAACTAGCACGTGATTTCTGCACACCTAGCACGTTAGCGAGGGCCACAAGGGCGCTGGCAGCGATGTCAAAAGTCAGCGACGTCAGACTGGATGCTAGCAGTGCCACACCATGGTGCTCACTCTTCCATGTGTTATGTGCCATGCACCATGTGCCATGCACCATGTGCCATGCACCACGTGCCATGCACCATATGCCATGCACCACGTGCCATGCACCACGTGCCATGCACCATGTGCCATGCACCATGTGCCATGTACCATGTGCCATGCACCAGGCATGTCATGTCAACATGCCACACCATGGTGCTCATCCACTGTGCTCGGCGTCATGTGCCATGCATCATGTATGCCATCATGTATGTCATCATGTATGTCATCATGTATGTCATCATGTATGTCATCATGTATGTCATCATGTATGTCATCATGTATGTCATCATGTATGTCATCATGTATGTCATCATGTATGTCATTCCGCGTACCTAGCACGTTAGCAAGGCCCACAAGGGCGCTGGCAGCAACGTCGGATTGAATGCCGGCAGAGCGGAAGACAGAGGAGGAGTAGTAGATGATGGCGTTGATGCCCGCAAACTGCTGCACTGCGAACAGCGCCATGCCCAGCAGCACCACTGGAGTGATGGGAAGGGAGGAGGAACAGGGGACAGGAGGTGAGACAGGAGGTGAGACAGGGGAGCGGAGGGGTGGGGGAGGGTTAGTAAAGGAGTGAAGGGTTGGGAAGAGTGTGAACGGTTGGGAAGGGAGAGTCACAAATTGCTAGATATCCACAACAAGGATATTATAGCCATTCAAAGCAGTTGAAAGCGGTGGCCATCGGTGGCAGGGCGTGGAACAGCAGTGGTGTGCTTGTACAAGTACCTGTTCAAAAGTGGGCGCCTTGTAACTGACTGCAACTCTACCTTTACGGTAGCACTTGAAGAAAAGGGTGAACATGATGCTGAAGGTGCTTCGTCTGCTCGTTTCCTTGCCATACCTGCCTCTGCCTGCTCCAACCCATCCACTGCTGCTGCACCTGCTGCTGCCCCCTTGGCACCTTGCCTTTGCGGTAGCGCTTGGAAAAGAGAGTGAGCAGCGACGCTGAGGTTGCTTCGTCCGCTCGTTTCCTCGCCACACCAGCCTCTGCCTTGTAAGCATTGTTTTAGAATCCTCAAAGAAACGCATACAACCCATCCACTGCTGTACCTGCTGCTGCCCCCTTGGCAGCCCCACCCTTACCTTTGCGGTAGCGCTTGGAGAAGAGTGTGAAGAGCGACGCAGCAGGTGCTTCATCCGCTCGTTTCCTCGCCACACCCGCCTCTGCCTGCTCCAACCCATCCACTGCCGCTACTGCTCCCTTGGTTGAGACAGCAGCAGCAGCAGGTTGAGGCGGGGAGGAGGAGGAGAGCTCGGCTGCTGCTGCAGCAGCCTGGGAGGGACCCAGCAGGCGCTTCAGCTGCCTCTCTGCCTCGTCGCTCCTGCCCACCTGAGAAGAGAGTTGGGGGAAGGGGGGGTGGGTGGGTGTATTGTAAGGAAGGAGAGGAAGCAAGGAACTCAGCAGAGAGCTGCCGGCACTCGCTTTACCTGCCTCTTGGCAGAGGGCTACTGGCCCAGTAGCCAAGGAAAAAGGGAAGTGAGCGGCAAGCCAGAATGAAACCATTCATGGCTGCCAGCTGGTGGCGTGGTATGGCATCCAGCTGGGTTGGATTTCAATTGCCCCTGCCACTCCAGATCACATCCAACCCAACTCACCATGCCATCAACGTGACTCAACATGCAGTTATCCCACTTTAACCAGCCATGCCACCAAAGTGACTCGCACATGCAAGCGTGCCACCAAAGTGACTCGCACATGCAAGCGAGCCACCAAAGTGACTCGCACATGCAAGCGTGCCACCTTAACTCACCATCTGGGCTCGGATGGTGCGAGGCCAGCTTTTGAGTTGACTCACTGGCTCTCAGGCGCCTACGTCCTGCCCCACATTGCATCCCCCCACCCACCCCATGGCACCAACACACACACTGCACACCATGCCATGCACGCACTGCACCTTAGCAAGCCATATGAGGCTTTCAAAAACCCATGCCATTGCACGCATGCTAGCCCACCAATTCATTCGTGCCAAGGTGCTCTCTTGGGAAGCCATTCAATCCACCTTGGCAAGCCAGTCTGGGGCTCTCTTGGGCCCAAAGGATGCCAGCAGCCCACACAAACACGTGTTATGGCCCCAAACCATGCCACACACCCATCTCATCGCACACCATGCCATGCCAACTCATCTCACACCTTGGCAAGCCACAGCATGCCAGCAGCCAGCATAACCACATGCCATGCTACAACCCAACAAACCTGCCACGCACCCACCGCACCTTAGCCAGCCATCTGGGGCTCTCAGGCGCCCACAGCATGCCTGCAGCCAGGGCGGCCGCTGGTACCACTCCCATCCAAAACATCTGCCGCCACCTGATTGGCGGAGAGGCAGGGGTGAATTGAAACGGGATCAGAGGGAGGGACGCGGAGAGAGAAGGTAGCTGTGGGGAGGCTGTTCAGGGTGGCGCAGTCCACTGGGAGGTGAGGCGAAGGCAGGCGGAGAAGCAAGCGTGGAATGGCGAGTGCAGCGCAAGCGTGGAATGGCGAGTGCAGTGCAAGCGTGGAATGGCGAGTGCAGTGCAAGCGTGGAATGGCGAGTGCAGTGCAAGCGTGGAATGGCGAGTGCAGTGCAAGCGTGGAATGGCGAGTGCAGTGCAAGCGTGGAATGGCGAGTGCAGTGCAAGCGTGGAATGGCGAGTGCAGTGCAAGCGTGGAATGGCGAGTGCAGTGCAAGAAGCCTAGGAGAAAGCATGCAGGCAGTGCGGCGAGGAGTGTGGCGAGCATGCAGTGAGTGCGGCGAGCATTCTGGGAGGCCGCTTTTGGTTCGACTCACATGCCAAGGCCGTGCACAGCAAGGCACCCACCAGGCGACCTCTGAGTCATCTCTGCACACAGCAAGGCACCCACCAGGCGGGGTTGGCAGCGAGGGGCAAACCAGCGAGCAGAGCAGCGAGGATGCCGACACAGATGGCCAGCTGGTTCAGCGACCCCAGGCGACCCCGCACCGATGCTGGCGCTATCTGATGCATGGGGGATCGATGGCGGGAGCGACAGCAGGGGCAGGGGTGAGAGGAAAAGGTTGCAGGTTATGGAGCAGGGGAAGGTCGTTGGCGGCGGGATATGAGCAGCGTAACGCACGTGTGCCATCTGACAGACAGACCAGAGAAAAGATGGACAGTGAGGCAAGGAGAGAGGCGGGCAGGCAGAGAGAGCGGGGGGCATACGCACCTCGGAGATGTAGACGGGCACGACACATGAGATGACGCCAAAGGCCAGTCCTGTGAGCGCCCGCCCCACCAGCATCTGCGGCACCGATGAGGCCGTGGCGCTGGCAGGTGGGTGGTGGGGGGGAGGGAGGGAGGGCGAGGGTGGAAAGGGGCAAGGCCTGATGCATCACAACGCACTTCCAATATGGCTAACCCTGTGAGCGCGCGGCCCACCAGTATCTGCAGCACCGATGAGGCTGTGGCGCTGCCAGGAGCGGGCAGTGAGCGTTTGAAGGTGTGGTGGGGAGGAAGAGGGGGACTGCTGCGTTGGAATGGAAGCGAGAAGCAGCATACAGGGGGGGCTTTGGCGTTTGCCGTGAGCTGTCTATATGTACCCCAGAGGGTTTCAACGAGATGTTGTTCCGTTGACCCACACACACTCCCTCCCTGCCATCGCCACCAGCTGAGAGCCAAGAGATAGCAACAGCTCCGTCATCTGTTATGTGTTGGTGACTTATGAGTCGAGTCAAAAGTCACCTCGACTCAAAATCCGGCTCAAAAGTCACCAAGAAATAGCAACAGCTCCGTCATCTGTTATGTGTTCCCGCAGTCAATATGCGAGCAGGTGGAATGCTGTTGGTCGCCCACACCACACAGTCAGCCAAGCAGCCAGCCAGCAAAGCGACATCCACCTGAAACACCCGCAACAGCGGATTGAGCGAGTACCTGAGCGCACTCCCGAGTGCGAGGGGCAGCGAGAGCAGCAGGAAGGTGGTTCGCCGCCCCACAGAGTCCGCCAGCCAGCCGGCTGAGAGCGCTCCACACGCTGCTGTGAGCAGCGATGCACTCACCACCCAGCCTGGAGGGGGAAGGGGACCGGGAAGGGGAGGGGCACGGGGGACAATGAGGCATGCGGAGGAGTGTGAGGGCCCAGGTGGTGTGTTACTGGTGTGAGGCGAGGGAGAGAAGAGGCACAAGTCATAAGGAGTGGGCGCACGAGGTGATATGCAGTGAGCAGTGACGCACTCAGAAGTAAGACAGGTGGCTGGCTCCAGCCTGGTTGCAGTGGAGAGTGGACGAATGCACATGGGGAGGCGAGTAGGTGGTAGTGAGAAAGGAAGACGGTTTCGCAAGGCTGGTGCTGCTGTGCGGCGAGGCGAGCGCGGGATAAACCTCACTAGGAGAGGGCGCGCAAGGGGAGAAGCAAGCAGCGGAAGTGAAGGGATGACTAGGAGAGGCAACACACCGAGAGGCGCAGAGAGATGGCAGTGAGAGGCGCAGAGAGATGGCACGCATACCTCCTATGAGGGAGTTGCCCGGCGCTCCTATGCTGACGAGGATGTGATCCAACGGCCCGTTCACCACACTGCATTGCCGTGCATGCGCGGGGGAGAGGGAGGGGGAAGGAAAACGTGGATGAAAGTTGAACCGCGGATTTTGCGTAGTTTTACAGGCAGATGACGGGCAGATCGTATGGCACGCACAGGCGACACTGAATGCAGCAGAGAAGGACGACAAGACAGGACAAGGCAAGACAAGGGAACGGGAAAATCGGAAAGCTAGGCGGCCCAGATTTGTCACAACACACCAGTATGGTGGTGCCACACGTGTCACAAGCTACACCTGTTGTGTCGCTACCCCATGATCACATTGTATCGTACGCATGCAGTGTAGCAGCCATCGCGCGACGAACCTGATGTGGTAACCGAACGCGAATGCGCCAATGCACGCGACCAGCACGGCCGCCAGCACCATGCCCCCCCCGCTCCCCCCCATGACTCTGATTCCCCCCCACCCGCCCCACCGCCGCCACTCGCGCGAGCCGCCACCGCCCTCCCCCTGCCGCCTCTGCCGCTCCGCAGACCTGGAGTGGCTGTCGCGCTGCTGGCGCCGGATCGAGCGGAAACTGCGCCGCCGGGTACCGCGCCGGATACGGCGGCAGATGCAGCGCCAGACGCGGCGGAGGCACCAGGTGGGGATCTCAAAGCGGTGGCGGCGATTTTTCGAGACATGAGCGATGCGGGGATGGCGGCGGGAGATGCGGGGACTCGGGAGGCGGATGAGGAGTTTCCGGCGAGGTCGCGAGGGGCACAGGAGGGGCGAGAGACAAACCGCTGGGGCGGGCGGTCAAAGGAATTGAGAGAAGCCGGCGAAAACGATAACGTTGACGGAGATACTAGGAGGCTGGTTGGTCCTCCCTGTCTACGTTTCCGGGCTGTGCGCGCTGACAATGCCGTTGACGGCGACGATGATGGTAACTGTGATACTGCCGGCGAGGGGAGAGCGCGCAACGATGTCGGCGCGCTTGGAGCAACGTAGGCAAGCATGATGAGAGGCGGCCGGAAAGCCCGCAATTAGTATTGTGCGCTACCTAGCAGCAATTACCACTTCTATGTTGGAGCCACAAACCAAGTGCCCAAGCAGGCGGAGGCGAGCTCGAGCAAGGAATGCGTTCCCGCTATTGGCGAGTGCGTCGAGCGCTAACGTCATTAATTCGTCTACACGACAGCAAATCTTGGGCAGAAGTAGTAAACATGAACGACCATTAAGTAGAATGACAATGGGTTTCCTACATAATGAAAAAAGTGCTTACACTACCACTGCTTCAGAAATGTTTTTCCGGTTCAATAAAACTAGACTTCAGAAGCCAAAAAAAAAAAACGCACACCCAAAGCAGAGGGGTTCATGAACAACTAACTTACCATATGTTGAAACTAGGGTCAAAGCTTGCAAAAGGGCCTTAGGAGCAGGTACTGTCAGAATGAGGAATGAATGATGCATTGATGTTGGTTGGGGTACATATAGCTAACCCTAAGTTTTGTACCCCCTAAGACAAACCTCACTATAGGCTACAACATTTGACACACCCCCATAGCCTAAGTGAGGGGTGTCTAGCAGAACCAAACGAGTACGGTCACAAGACCAGTCCAAGAAACGAAGCTCAGGGTGGATCACAACGTCACCACACAGTCTGAGCACAAACAACAGTGGCCACAAGGCCAGTCCAAGAAGTAACAGAGGTATATAGAAAGCAAAGTAAACAGTACACTCAAGTCTAAGCAACACGAGAACCAGTGTCAACAAGGCCTAACTGCACACAGCACCTCTGGTGGTCACAAGGCGGAAGCGCCTTGGTGAAGATGTCTGCAGTGTTGGCCTCGGACTCCACAAACTCAAAGCGAGCCTGTCCACGCCTCTGCAACTCTCGCAGAAGAAAGTACCTGACGTGAATGTGCTTCACTCTGCTCTCCAGTCGTGGCTCTCGACAAAGGAGAATAGACGCCTTGTTGTCAGTGAACAAGGTCGGTGCAGAGCTCGGCCGCTCACCAAGGTCGGTGAGCAAGAAGGTCAACCAACGCAGCT